AAGATAAAATCTCGGTAGAAAATTATCCCATATATCACTAAATATTATAAGAAAGCACTACACTTTGGATACGTCGTGAAATTTTGCACTTTGAAATTTCCTGTAAATGCATGAATGTCTGCGGTATTTCTATTTCCAAGGGAAATTTATTTAATTTAAATCGTTACTTTACGGCAAAATTCATTTCACAACGAAAAGAAAGTCCATGCTCCAAGCTTTTCAGCGGGAATGTATTACATATGTAGTCCAGCATTTTCGTTATTCGCATACTGAACTTACAATTAGCAGGGAAACTAATAATTTCGATCTCTTTTATCGTATGTAATCAGTATAAAGACGATTTGTCTCGTATTTTCAATACACCGCATATATACGACAGACATCGAATAAATGTTGAAGAATTAAATTTACATCGATCACACGTATCACACACGCGTGATTTCTCTTCACATTTGCAATTATGCAAGTGCCAAAGGAGTTCGATAGTACGATATGAAGCGTCTGCGGATTTCCCAGTTTCGCGAAAACTCGAAAATAGACATCGAGGTGATATCTCTCTACGGCAATATTTATCTTTAATTGGAAGTTTTTGCTTCTTTTATTATCAAACGACCGATTATACTACTGTTTCTCGTAATTCTGCTCCGAGTATTGACAACATCGATTATTAGTTTATTAATAGACATGTTGGTTTTGAAAATTCGACGGTGTTTTGTGCTGTCCGACAGCGTGAAACAAATGGTTTATAATTGAAGTTAATGTGGTTCGATAATCTTCAATATTGACATTTAAATATTTCCTTTCGCTATGTATGCTACGAACGTTTGGAACGCAGCTTATAATATATATTTGGAGAATGTAATTCAACAATTTGCAAACTTACAGACTGTAATTGCCTCGTGGAAATTAATTGCCTTGCCATTTATTTATTAGTTTTTCTCGAATTATTTTTTCGAACAGAGTTCTTCTTTTATTTGAATTGGAATTTTCATTTAATCAAGTTCTTCAGTTTCTAATTTTCAAACGTCAAGTTGTTCTTCATATGTATCTAAATTATTATTGAAAAATCTATAATTTCAAAGATTAAAAAGAATATACCGTTTAATAAGTTGCAACGTGTTTTGCAAATGTGCCAATTTTTTGTTTTCAAATTCAATGCAGAGGCAATTAATTTCTACGTCTGACACATACATCGTTTATTCGTGTAATTCGAAGATACGAGAGTTAATGTTACCAAAGTAACAAATTTCACACTAAGTTTGCAAACTCTTAGATTGAAAATTCTGATTATAGTAAACGTTTATTAAAAATTGGCTAGAAATTAATTAACTGGTTTAGAGTCGTTAAAGATTATAGTCTGTTATTAATATTATTATGCAATTGATATTATCATATTATTTACTGTTCAGAATCGATTCTAAGCAGCTAGTTAATAACTTTTGTACAAATTTTCAAAGTCTTTCTTTGCTTTCTCTAATGACATGTAAAAGACAATTACGTAGGTAGACCCTGATTGTGGATTACATTGATCTAAATAATAATTTCTCGTATATTTTCATTGTAATTAGTATCAATCAATACGTCCATCGTTTACTTTTACTTGTTTAAATTTCTACGTAAATGATCGCACGTACAGTGATTCTTATTAATATTCGGACAACGTTTTACACAAAAGATAATTTCTCTCTATATTTGTTTGTAATAGTCTTATTAAATTAATTGCCCGTCAGTTAGTTTGGTTAGAAGAAACATCAATTTCATTTATTCTATGCACATAAATTTTTGCGATGAATTAAACAGTGTCTAGACTCGGAATCGTGAACAAGTTTTATTAACTTTATGTTATATATAACATATATGTTTAAAATATATCTGCGCAATTAATATAAACTCGTTATCCGAATTGTTTTTGCGGTTTTAAACTTCACCATTATTTAATTCGCTGCTTTTTACAGAAAAAACCAACGTGCATGAAATAAATAAAAATTTACGTTTCTGTCGTTTGACTCGATCAGCACTTTATTGTATTAATAAAGTTGTTGGAGCAATTGGACTTTGATTTAAAATACTCTACGTATAAATCATTATAATTTAAACTACAATTAAAGTAAATGAATTCGTGCAATCATATTTCTGTTTAAATAGAAATCAGTATTAATTTTAACATTAAGTTTACCAACATTTTTTAAAACTTGGTCGTTCTGATGTTCAAATTAATTAATTCGACGAGACTGTTATAAAAGGTGTATGAACAAATAATCTTCCTCGTAGCGTGGTGTCCAAATATTATTAAATAAGAGGTATCGTATATTGTACATTCACCACTTGTTCAAGAAAACCCAAATAATCGGTGCATGCAAGTCGAACAGCCTCTCTCGTGAACCTCGATATCGTTAACAACGATAAACATTTTCATTTTGCATTGAATCATCGAGTATCAAGTGGTCGTAAATCTTTCAGGCAGATTCGAATTTCCAACAGCAAAGAAAAACAGTCGATATTTCGTCGAGTCGAGATCGCTGGATAATCTCCAACGTTTGTTATACGCGTTTCACTACCAATCGAAATAAACTGCTCGCGAATAGTTGAGCGAAATTGCGTTACAAGAGTCACGAAACTTGAACAATGAAGAAACGAGTTAACAAGTTTTGGTGTGTATATTTGTCGTCTTATGTTGATCTGTGTTATGATGTAAAAAAAAAAAAAAAAAAAACACCTTACACTACCGTGCAAGAGGATTCGGATAATTCTAAATTATTACAGTGTGAATTACAATTAAACTCATGTGAAACTTCGTAAAAAGAAAGCATGCAACGAACCGCTTGGTCTCATTTTGAAGTCTTTGCTTCGACGGTCCCGAGTTCGTTTTTCTTTTTTTTTCTTTTTTCTTTCAAAGATAATTTTGTAGCGAGTGGAAAATTATAAAAATTCAAACGTCCGTAAAAAACATGAAAAACTATCGTTTTGAAGATTGAAGTCTCCCCTTTAAAGAGGCCTTACTTCGGAACTTACTGTACGATTTCTTTTCTCACTTTCATCAATAATTTGTTGGTGACATCTTGACAGAAACATAATCGAAAAATATAACAAGATTCTTGAAAATTCTCGTCACATGTATCAGAAAACTCGGAGGTGGAGTTCATGTTCCATATTTTCCATAGTTCACGTGCCTCGTAGTACTGCGCTAGAAAGGGTTAAATATTCGTTCGCGGATGAACTCCGTTGTCGAATTTAGCGCCAACGAAATCGCCATTGAATTGGATCGAAGAATCCAAGAATTCGAACGTCTATATGTATCCTTGGGGATTACAGTGGTACCTGGTCATGCTTTTCAATACCTTACGCAGCAATTGTTGCAAGCAACGCCTGAACGTGATGCCGCACATCGCGTACAGTAAGAAATTAATGCTGAAGTTGGTGTAGTAAAGAAGCATGAAAAATTGTTGTAAACACCAGAGCAAATCCGGCGTGTTCTTGCGGGCCAGCGTGAAGAAGAACACGCACAGCCGGATCACGTAGCTGGAAAACGAAAATTTAAGTCTGGTGAAATTGAATTTGTCAAGCTGTGACGTACGAATTTAGAAGGTGACAGAAGGGAAAATGGAACCACGAGGGCCATTGATTTCCTTTCACCTGTGCTCACCTGCGGTCTATGCACAGTGTCGTTAATGGAACAATGAAATATGAATAGCGTGAGAATACGTACAGGGTGATTCTCAAGCGCATTCGAATCTACACGTTATAACGAATAACACGCAAGAATGTCATCACGAACTTGTGTCTTATCTACCTTAATTTTCGAGTAGATGGATAATTGAAGGAAATGTTCGATGCGTTCGTCTTGTGCCTCGATACAATGCCAAACTTCGTCTAATGTTTCACTTATTTCTTTACTTGCTTTATTATGTAGATTCGTCATACAAAGTATAGACATGCATTTAACCTATTTGCATCCAAGCGCGGAATAATCCGCGAGCCGCGACTGTCTGCTATCACCGAACGCGGAATAATCCGCGAGCCGCGACTGTCTGCTATCACCAAGCGCGGAATAATCCGCGAGCCTACGACTGCTTTTTTTACCAGTTGCGAAATATTCTTTGATTGCGACAGGAAATCGAACATCAAAACGATGCGTTGTATGCTTAAGTAAGAGTCAATTCGAAGAGAGACAGTCTTTAAATGCCATGTTTGTGATAATTTGGATGCCCGTTACTGCACATACGATCGACTGCACGCGGTGATACGAGTCAGTCCTCAGTTGAACGTCGTTGATGTTTCAATGTGGCAGCTTAAATAGAGCGATGATGCAAATAGGTTAAGAATCACCCTGTGTATGATTCAAATTTGGTTTGGTACCTGCTTGCTAACAACAACAAGTTTCAAACAATACATTTCTGTCTGTGGAATCGACAGAAATATTTTTCCTTCCAAGATAAAAAAAGGATCAGTCAGAAACGAAGTTTCGAAAGTTAATGAATTTCGCCACTAAATTCGTAACAGACATTAAAGTACATTTATTTTAAAAACGTATGTTAAAAACATTGGAACGTAAAACCGGCGATTCTAGCTATTTTCGAACGACTTGGAATAGTCTGTCCTCTTGAATATTTTGACGAATGACTGCTTACCTCGGTAAATTGAGAAGAATGAAAACAGTGCTGATCAAGAGGAGCATCTTCGTGATACTCTGCTGATTCCTCGTGGACACGAGGTTCCTCGAAGATGACCTAATATCTGTAACAAAAGAAAGAAAAGAAAAGAAAATTGCAAAGAAGAAAGACGAAGAAAAGAAGACGCGAAACGTCAGCAGAAATTCCTGCAACGTCGTTATCCGACGTTTGAATAATTTAACTTTCCATTCCTGCGTTCTTCGTACTAACCGTGCGCGTTTGTAACAAGTGCTGCAGCCACTGGCTTGTCAACGAACACGCATTGAAATTTGAAAAGGTAATCTTCTTGCTTCGATGTAGTTAATATATTTCTCTTTTTTTTTTTTTTTTTTTTTTAGACTTACGATAACACGAAGAACACGAAAGTGAAAGAAAAGTTTAATTAGTTTCTGCTGCGATCGACAACCACGCTCTATCGACCACATTGTGTTGAAGTTTCGAGAGTTTCATTTCGGTAATCTGTGAATTTTAATACGGTGTATTGATCTTTGCACGGCCATGTTCATTCCGTTTATTTTTGCTGGGACGTTGGTTCGAAATTAATTCTTAAATTTCTCGAGAAGCCTCGCCGCACTCCAAACTTCCGAAACTCGAAACTTTTGAAGTGCAGTAGAAATTCACGTACACGAAATTGTCGAGGACGTGCGAGAAAAATTCATTTTCACAGTTTCACATTTTCTCATATATGTGTGAAAATATGTGTAAAGCCCAGAAAATTTTAATTCACGCGTGATCAATGATAAGAAGCACATACGAGCAACGTGCGGAACAATGTTGAACTGAAAATTTGTTAAAATTGACATTCCCCTTTCTTCTCGTAATCCTTCGATTTATTAGATTTCTGATTTCGAATAACTACAATTAAATAATAACGATAGTAATCCTTTGAAGTAAATAGCTAATAATCTTTTCCTTTCATATGTAAATGAAATTCTAGTTGTAGAGTGTCAGTGATTGGAAAATTCGAAAATCTTTAAAATTCTCCGACGAGTTTATCCTAGAGAAGTATTTCCCGAACGAGTTAATTTCTCTGAATTAATGCTTCGTTAATCAAACAAACAAATACGCGTTTTTCCTCTACTTAAACAAATTTACACTCGTTTAATGCAATAATACAAATTGAACTGTAAACGCGAGCAAAATTCCGTATTCATAATTCAATTCATGCAAATTTGTGTACGTACTCATAATTTAATTTATGAAAATTTATGCTTGTATTTATAACTTAATTAACATGGATGAATTCTTAATAGGTATACTTTCTTTTTTTTTTTTTTTTTAAATCTTCGATTATTTGACGATAAATATATATATATATAT